TGGGCGAATGGAAATGTCTTGGGAAAACCCAGGGGCACTCTGGTACGCAGAGCTCCGTTTTGTCTGTTTATACAGCTTTGGTTCTCCCTCCCGCCCGCCCATCTCCTCAAAATAGACCGTGAAGTTCAAGATGGGTGAATTGTGAGCGAAAAACACAAGGCGTTTCATGTAAGCTTAGTAAAATTACCGCTATTACGCCTCCTGGTTGAAAGAAATGAAAGGCACTATTGTTATAGTGTTATGATCAAGCACTTTTAATTTCTCGAGTTATTGTACGAGGCAGAGCAAATCTATCGCCACGCACCCGGGTGGCTAGTTGAGTACGCTGTGCTCGGGTAGGGGTCAGTTTGACCCCCTGAGATTTCAAAAACTAAGATAGCTAGATTCATCAAATTCATAGAGTAGCTTTCTCGGCATATAATGTCATTTTGTTAAAGTTTGAGGTTCCTAGGTCAGGAACTAAAGGTCAAACAAGGTCAGACTCCAGATTAGTGTCCGATGTGCACCAGACCTCAGCTTACAACCGTCGTGAACCTAGATACCTGTTCAATGGTGTTGGTGTTCAATGGTGTTCATTAGGGTCAGTGGCCTCGTTTGACCTCTACGTCAAGGTCACCAAAAACCTAAGAGACTAAGAGACTGTCTTTTGTCACTCAAATAAGAGTCAAGTATTACGTTAGACGGTATGTTCCCGAAATTTTTTATCTGTGTCACTTGAGGTCAGTGACCCACTTAAGACTTTAAAAAGGCTATGGAACATGCCTGTTGCGGTCCCTGTCATAAAAAATTCGAAATGAGCATCACAAAATTTTCCATAGAGCAAAGCTCCGAGTAAAAAAGTCAGTTTTAACGTCGTCGTCTCACTTCATATGTAACCATAAGTCAAGCGAATTTGTTTTGCATACGAATTGGAATTCATAACTATTAATATATGTATATGTATAATATATATATATATATATATATATATATATATATAATAGAGTTATAATTAATTGGAATTGAATGGAAAGAAATGAATTATAACTCTATTTATTATATATGTGATGTGTATATAGATATATATATATTATATATATATATATATATATATATATATATATTAATAGAGTTATGAATTAATATATATATAAAAAAATACTATTAATATAACGGATATAAAAATTTTAATATATATATATATATATATATATATATATATATATATATATATATATATACCTATATGTTTGAATTGGAATTCATAATTCAGTTGGTTTATTGCCTAAGAAACTATTTCAGAGGCGTATGTTCTTGGCCAACACTCCGTTGTCGCACCAGATTGAACGAGTTCCTAGAACTGGCCTTCGCTGACAGCCATGGGCTGACTTTGACCTGCCATAGGTCAGCGACCTTGGAAGGTGCATTTCACTTTCTTATACCATAAAATCCACTCATAAATTGCCTACAGTTGAGCAAAGTTTGACGCGGCTACGCCGTGTTGTTCGGAAATTATTCTGAGAAAAGCCTTTGGGAGAAGGGGGGCAACTTGACCCCCGCCCGAGCGTGTGTTAATTAGGAGCAATCAAACAGTGAGACTATAAAACGGTTTAATGTGCAACTGTAATACGTAAACACAATATGCCCTTAAAAAGTGTTATGTAGGAGATGAATGGAGTCAGTCGACGCACGGCGAGCCTGCCAAGCAATATTGGCGCGCTTGGCAGGGCCAGAACTAAGACATGACGAATGGTCGGAGACGACAAGGGAAAAACCACCTAAAGGTGTGCTCTACGTTTGTGCGGAGTTCCAACTGAAATATCCACCTTGAAGATGCGTTTCACAGTCCTGCCCTTTGAAGACCTAAATCCTCTAATTTCTGAGCTACGCGCCCGCGAAGATGTGCAGACTATTTCGTGTAGCTCAATTCAAGGTCGCCCGGGAATCTATGCCATAGCTACGCCATTCCAATGTTGTCATCCGATTGGCCATGCGGCGATCGAGGCCAATAAAAACTCAGAGTAGAAAACGGTGTGAGTTTTGTTTTTGTCTGTACTTTTTCAGAGGGATGATTACATTCACCCCCGCCCCTGCCTTCCCTTCTTTTAAAACCCCCTCACACGATGGCCGCTCCAAAATTCCTCTTTCACCTCAGGCCTCTCGCCAACCAGGATTCCGGGATTGTGCTGCCCATATGAACACAAAAATCACACTGTTTCAGTTTTCATCTCTGTGCTTCCAGCACCAGCATACCCGACAGACCATCCGAGACACTCCCCCTGATCCCATAGATTCTCACACAACGTCTAAGTGTCGGGAACTCGCGCTCTCATG